GACCAATTAATGGTTGTCTTCTTGTTTCTAAAGACATACATACTGAAAACAAAGACCGATTAATGGTTGTCTCCTTGTTTCTAAAGACACACATACTGAAATCTCCTCGTTTCTAAAGAAACGAATGCCAAATAGAACGACCATTTTTAAATCAAAGCGAAAATATTCTGTTTATAACATTTCATTATTCTCGTCAGAAGTAGTTTTAACCTTTATTAAATGCAGTACTTTTCTTTGGTGAAAATTATGTTTTTTCTATTTTGGTAGTTGTAGTTACACTGTAGCTTGAATAAAAAACTATTTGATAAACAATAATTATACTTGTGGAACAATTAAAATATTCATCTTGATTAGGTTTTACTCATCTGCAAGTTAGTTTCAAAAATTGGCAAATGATATATTTCTCCCAAACTTCTGAGTGACAAACTGTTATCAAACGGCGCAATAATAATTGAAATCACTTATTAACACATGCGTTGGTAGAGATTTTGCAGTTATTTTAATAGCTAATAAACCCTTTTATGTATAAGTTGAGAAAACATATATATAGCTCTGTGACTTGAAGCTCCAGGCATAGCCGCCAGGTGGTTAGGGCGCTCGACTCCCAATCTGAGGGCCGCGGATTCGAATCCCCGTCCCACCAAAGATTCTCGTTTTTTCAGCCGTGGGGCGTTATAATGTGACGGTCAATCCCACTATTCGTTGATAAAAAGAGTAGCCCAAGAGTTGGCGGTGGGTGGTGATGACTAGCTGCCTTCCCTCTAGTTTTACATTGTTAAATTAGGAATGGCTGGTGCAGATAGCCCTCGTGTAGCTTTGCGCGAAATTAACAAAAACAAACAATAATTTTAAAATATAATAATATAATATTTTTTGATATATTCCGAATGGGTACAATAATAGCATTTCATACAAATGAGGTATTGTCATTGGAGCTAACATATTTCTCAGTTTTTAGACTATAATAAACAAACTATCCGGTAGTGTTTTACTAAACAGAAATAAATCAAGATTCTGTAAGACTAAAAGGAAATTTGCTTAAACTTTTTCAAACGTAACAATAATTATTCAAAAGTACCAACTATAGGTAATATTATTATTCTACTAACATGTTAGTGGCTATACAGTTTACTATTATTAGCGTTGATGACAGGTATTATGGAAACAAATGTTTCATTTAACAATAAGGGGGAAAGAACAAGATCGTATACAAAAATACCATTAAATGTATTACTTATGCTTAGAAAGTCTGTAATTTCGCTAAATTGTTTTCAGGAAACTAGTGTCAACAACTTACTTCAATAATCGAGTTCCTAACGCTAATTACAACTTACTTTAATAATCGAGTTCCTAACGCTAATTACAACTTACTTTAATAATCGAGTTCCTAACGCTAATTACAACTTACTTCAATAATCGAGTTCCTAATGTTAATATAAACTTACTTCAATAATCGAGTTCCTAACGCTAATTACAACTTACTTCAATAATCGAGTTCCTAGCGCTAATTACAATTTACTTAAATAATCGAGTTCCTAATGCTAATTACAACTTACTTCAATAATCGAGTTCCTAACGCTAATTACAACTTACTTCAATAATCGAGTTCCTAACGCTAATTACAACTTACTTCAATAATCGAGTTCCTAACGCTAATTACTAAAAATTGATGTTTGTTTGTTTGTTCGTTTTTAAGCATAAAGCTACATAACGGCTATCTGTGCTCTGCCCACCGCGAGTATCGAAACCCGATGTTCAATGTTATAAGCCCACAGACGTTCCGTTAATCCACTAGAGGGCAAACATTCATGATAAAGGGAGTTTTTCTTTATTTACTGAATTATAAGCTACTTCATTTTTATCATTATTTCATATTTCTTTAAATAACAGATTTTGTAATAAAAGCACAAATACAAAGATTACGAGAAATACCTCTAATAACATGAAGATTATTAACATATATTATGTTAAATTTGAAACACCAATAACATGTAAATTTGATTATAATCACACTACGACTTAAACCAACTTATGGAGATGATATCTTGATATTAAAATGATTGTTTCCCATATATATAAAATCTTGACGTTGATATTCTCAGATATGATTCGGTCAATACACGCTACTAGGAAGCAACATGTTTGTTAAACCTAAGCAAACATATGTACATTATTTAATACGAAAAAAAATCATTTTTTAAAGTATACTTTAACATTAACATGTGTGGTATATTAACAACTAGCAGGGAATTATTGTTGTTGTTTTTTTTTATAAGAAACGGATAAAACTGATCAACTAGAAATACTGAAATGTATTTTCCTCGGTATTTATTATCCAAAAATCACATCAGATTTGGAGTGAATAGTAACAATTCCAGGACTAAACAACACTAACAAACTAGATCAAAGGATCAACGGAATTTATAAACAGAAAAAAAAGGTAGAATTTATTAAAATCTCGTATTCGCTTTGATCTTATTCTGTAGTTCTATCTGTAAAAATGCATGTATCGGAGAATGTAATACTTGAAATCCTCAAAGAAATGTTCTGAGAATGTATGAATTTGAAGTATGATTTTACATATAAATTGTGCAATAAAATAATGCATTCCACTTCCAAACTCCAGTAACCCTATAACTGATGTAAAGATTTGGGTTTAAATCTCTTTCTTTGCGTTCACATATTTACATCATCTGTTTGTGTAGTGTTTTGATGTTTGCTCTAAACGAAGTTTGAACTGGCAGAAACAAAGGTAAGCATAAAAATGGCACATAAGACAACTTATTTCCAATACTGAACGAGAAAGCTTCTAAGATTTCTTTGAATTTTTTCTTATGTATTCTAAAGTTTGTTTTGTCGATAGAGGAGGACAGTACTTCGCTAGTCTTATGATATGGTTGAAATGTATAGCCAGCTGGTATACAACCTTAATAGGCAAAGCTTTAAGAACGTTCTGTCATTATAAACCTTTTTATAGACAGTTTTCTCGAAAGAAATAATGATCATATAGTACTATATAAAGCTTTTAAACAGTCACAAAGTGTCAAGAACAAGACATAAAAGATATGTTGTCGAAACATAACCATAATTATTATTTTAGTATTGCAATAAAAACTTACACACAATTTTTTTATAAACAAAACAAACACTTTAATGGCTGAGAACATAATAAACATATCTTCAAGAACTAAACACACGACTGGCCCAACAGAAAAATCTCTTATGTAACTTCTTTTTCTTCTCAGATAGATGAAGGTATGAAGAACAAATAGCGTCGCACGTAAAGAACAGACGCATAAAACTTGAATACTGTATTTGGAATAATAAAAGGATTCTAGATTAGAAAGATATCTTTCAAAAGCAAGAACTGAAAGATATTCCTGTCCTGACTGGTTTTTCTCTGTACTGTCTTGCTCGAAAATCGAGTAAGGTAAATAAAAATATACAATAACATATTACTTCTTCTTTTAAAATTACTTTCAAACTGTTGCGCTTTTCCAGCAGTTATCTCAATAAACATGACAACACAAGATGTTTTTAATATGATAAAATCTGTGTTCATTAAAACACTGCTTAATTAAATAACACTGATCATGTGTGAAAGTTACATCAGTTAAAATCATAAATAATATTCAACGCTAAACTGGTATACAATTAAAAACATTTTATTTAGGCCTATCTAAAGTTGACGACTCTACATGTTTCGACGTTACAACGTCATCCTCAGGACGTCGAAACATG